TATTTTGTGAAAAAAATTATTTTTTATCAATTATTAGTGACAGGAATACATTTTTTTTTCTTTTCTAGTAAGTTTGTAAAGCTGCACTGCAATTTGAGACCAGTTTTATTAAAAATAAGTAAATTTATCGTTTTTTTTTTAATTGTGAATCAAATAATGATAATACATAATCATAGTATCAAAAACTGAAACGATTAATTAAATTAAAACGGGAATCCCTGTTACGTGAATAAGTGAATGTTATAATTATAAGGCAAAGAGTTAACGAGTTTATGTAACAATATGTATAAAAATACATATTACAATAGAATAAAATGAATACATTATCTATTAAAATACATTTCATTAATGAAACAAATATTTCGATACAAATAAATTCATTTTAACAGTGCAGTAATGAATGATTCATCGAAGAATAAAATTTAATTTATTTTCATATAACGCACCGTGAAAACAGCAAATTTCAGGCAAAAAATTATCGTATCGTATGAATCCTTTAAAATTCATTTCATATTGAATATATTTTAATATAAATGTCTTAATTGCAGGTATCATTTTTTAAATCGTGAATAATTTTAGTCGTATCCGTATATAAAATAAAGAGTCTTGTTTAATCTCAGCAAACATCATAATAGGTTATTAGCAACTCACTTCAAATTAAAAATCAAATTTTACAATTTTCTTTCCATTTTTGATTAATTCCTCACTGTCGCGTCAGCCATCGTAACAGGTTATTAAGCGATTCATTGCAAACGCGAGTTTTTATCATTTCCCAAAGAAGATTAGTTCATTCGAAAAACTTCAATGTTGCTTCGATGGTTTTATCCTGAACGTAAAATAATTAATTAATTCTTCATTGTTGCGTCAACCATCGCAAGCACAGGTTGTATTGGCGATACATTTCCAATTTTCAAAAGAGATCGATTCGTTCGAATAGCTGTAGCAGTTCTTCGATAATTTTATCTTGAACGTGACACACGTTTTAATGCAGTGTACATCGTTTAATATCGTCAAGTCGATCGCAGACGTCGCGACCAAGCACATTCCATAGTTATTAACAGATCTATGATTTGTGCGCGCTGTTTAAAAAATATAAACGTATACATACATATGCATCTTTTCCATCCTTAATTATATCGCACTATGTACAACAGCCGCGCGAACAACGCGCGTTATCGTTTTAACGACTGGTTAATTAATTTATCATACAATTACGTCATGATGTTCCTACGTTGTACACTTGGGTGTTTATCAATCGGCTAAAATGTAATTGGCACAAATCGATAATCGATCAAACTTAATTAATCATCTGTGTATACCGAAACATCTTTCCACAACTCACGTCCATGGGATTTTGCACGTTCGCTCGCTCGCTCGCTCGGGCATTATGATTTATCACAGAACAACATTACTGTTATACAACGTTAATAACAACGAAATTTTAATAACATCTCGCATGCTCGATCTCTTTAATGGCCAATCGTTGAATTTCACTTGTTCCGATGAATTACGTGAACGTATTGATTTATCGATAGAATTTTTTTGAATACTGTTAAAGATTATTGTAGTGTCATGTCGGAATAAAATGTAAAATTAGCATATTTGATACTGGAAATATTTCGCAAACAGTTGAGCAGAAAGAGGAAAAAGACGTTCAATATTTGTCACAGACAGTTTCGAAGTTTTCTAATACAAGCGTCATCGAACAGATGCAAAAACTGAGAAAACGTTTAACTTCCGAAGTTGGTCTACGAAATAAAATTTGGAGCACTTCATCAAATTCAATTCAGGTTGCATTCCTCGCGAAGTTCAAAAATTAGACGAAATAAAAAACTCGAGAGTAAATTTCTAGTTTGGCGACTATCAATGTTCTGTGTTTTTTTTTTTTTTTTTTTTTTTTTTTTTTTTCTTATATAAATCAAACATGAACAAAAATAAATGCCAGATTTCATATTCCTCAATATGGAGGATTGGGTTAGGTTTGGAACAATTCTGTGTAGCCATCTGGAATAAAATGAGAAGAAAGAGAAAGTAAGTACTAAACTAGAAATTTATCAGAGTTAAAAAATATATAAGAAAATTTTCTAGAATGCATAATCGTTTGATAAAATTTGATATTAATTTTCATTCTACGACATTGTATGGATACGTCAGAATCGAACAGCGTGAAAAACGAAAGATTTGAATTCATGGCTGGTATCTCTTCCCTGTTACATTATAACACTTGAAATTTCATATTTTACATCGTCAGTGTTAATCTCAGTACAGAGAAATATTTGAAACGTCTACGAACTATGTTTCAACAGAATCCGCGTCTACTTTCATCAATTTGTACAATAAATTTTGCCATTTCGCAAGTATAGAGGCTTAAGCAAGTGAGTAATTTATTCAGAATTCATGCGAGTGCGTTATTTCAATTTCTATAGTTTTCAAACGATGAGCGACAATAAGCAATGAAGCAGCAGCAATAATATTTTCTAATGTAACACTTGAGTCGAGTTCAACAAGGCAAAATTTATCGATTTCTCGCTTATTCCTCCCATGTTAAAAGCTGCAATACAATAAAACATCAATCGTCCTAGCATAGAGCAATCCAGATCTTACTACACAGATCGTTCTTACATTTACGTTACGTTATGCTGATATGATCGTATATCTACAAAAGCACACTTACACAGACGAATGATCCGAATTTTTCAATTACACTTGTGCGTGATACGTCGACAACCTGATCGAGTGAAAAAGATTCAACGACGAAATTTCGTGAATCTGATTCAACGAAAGCAATACACCGAAACTTGTTAACAGTGACCAAGCGGTACTTGTAACTTCATATTTAGAAGATAATAATACTTACAAAAATATAAAATGTTCGTTCAATACTGGTTGAAAAATTTCCGTTGAAAGTTATCTACGATCGATAACGTTATGACCAACTGTCGGAAAGTATCTAAGTACATTTCCAAAAAGAAGAACAATTTAATCTGCATCTTGGAGTAAAAAACTTCAGTTAATTAATTCAACAACGAAGAAAAAAGGAAATCCTGCCGTTGCGATTTACAATACGCATTTCTAGAATCTGTGCGAAACATCCGGGTTAAATAATACAAGAGAGAAAGAAAATTTCGATAATGAAACATCCTTGTTTCCTTGCAATGCTCTTAGGATCTCTCGAAAGTTCGAACTGAAAATTCAACAACAAGAGAACGGAAGGAAGAAGATTTAAATATTAAAAATGATTCTCTGGTGTGAAGGTATCTACATGCAATTTACATACTCTTAAAATTCGTGTTGGAATTAAAAGCTCAATGTGAGAGACTTCATTCAATGCGGAAAAGTGGAGGAAAATTCAGATAACAGAAAACGTATCCATCAACAACATACGTAAATACGTTGACTGAGCTACTCTGTCTGAAATGTTTGAATCTCTGAAATAACGAATTGAATTAATACTAGCGAAAACAAAGAGAACAAGAACGCGTGCATTTTCCAAATGAACCTCGAACGACCCGGTAATCGTAATTATCCATTTACACAGAGAAACATCAATAACATGCGTGTTTGATGATACACATATACGCGCGTACATATACAGCGTAGTAGTATATAGCAAAGAAATTCGATGGATTGGAAACTGCAGTTGTCCGCTCGATCTCTTCTTCAATCGATCCGTTGTGCGTCGGTGGCTTTTATCCTTCGTTTTCTAAACGTACGATTACATCTACGAAATCTCATAATGTCTCTGGAACAATGTATTTTTTTTTTTACAGAGGAGGCAAGCTCGAAATTTGGGGTGTTCAATTTATGTAAACATTGTTATTCTATAATACTCTATTGCATTTGGCAGATCATTGGCGGTTTTCTTGATTAATATTCAATTAATATCGTTGGGTGGTAGACGACTTACAATAGGATCCAAAGTCAAAATAATATTATTAATAATAATATGTTAATAATATTACTAATGATATATTGTTACATTAGTTAATAATTTTAATGAAATTTTACGAGTTGCAAGTTATGGATATTAACAGAGTTTCTTTCATCACAATAAGAAATTTGATAAAAGAGAAATTAAATTTTTTTTATTGTTCTATATGACGTAAAATTGTAGAATTAAATAATACAATGTATTGTGCACGATAGATATTATATATATATAATATATTATATATATTATAAATTATTATATAAATTATATAAAATTTTAATTTTATTCTAAATATAGATAGATATCTATATTTAGAAAGATCTGTCCTTAGTGTGGTCTTTAGATTTTACCAAATAGTATTTAGTATATTCAAAATAAATATTAAAGCACCATCTAATATTTATATAAATGTAAAAAAGAAAAAAATGAAACGAAGAAATTGATTTTTAAACGAGAACAGAACAAAATTTTTACTATGGAATGCTGAAGAAAGAAACTCTAGGCATTGATTAAAATCCGACCTCTGATTCATTATATTCGTCTAGAACACAACGATCAATCTCAATTAATACCCCTGCGATACGAATTATCGGGAAGCGTTATAAAAATATTCATTGACAATAATATTATATCAGTTAATATCAATCCTTAATTCCGTGTTCTGTCTAGTAATGATATCCTACAACAGTTCACGTGCAACCTTGAATATCGAACATTCAGTTACTCTGTATAATCTCGGGGAAAAAATTCATTCATTGAATATCCACGACGATGAGACCACGGCGATGCAATTTTTATTTCTATTTATTTCGATTGTTAACCATGACCACGTTCAATTCGTTTTGAAAAATCGACAAATTTCGATCGATTCTACCATCGGACATCAACGGATCGATAAAAAAAAAATATGGAGTCGATTGGACATTTTTTTTTTTTTTTTGTCTCTAATACAAGTACGATCACGCGAATTTTACGAATCGTTCTACATATGTACTTAAGTGATATAAAAACGTTTCTCCAAAAATACATGTGGGCAGTGAATTTCAATCCCATTCTTCTTTTTTCTTTCTTTTTGTTTCTCTTCTCGAATGTCTTCCTTCTCCGTCTTCCGAGGGGGAAACCAGACCGAGAGAATTCGTTTGACCCTGCTGAGAGTAATCGATTTCCCTGTTGCTCTTAAACACCTAAAAATTGTCCGATCACGCCTACTTGCCTCGTCGTAAATACAAAAATTAAGTACACCATTTTGCAGCATCGAGCAAATCTCTATATAAGTACCAGAAGCGACGATCGGCTCTTTCCGATTCGTCTTAAACGCGTTGCCGTCGTTCAACGTTCGCTACCTGTTCGATTATTATTGGTTATAAACTGGGTCTCTGTTTTATTACTGGATTGAGTAATAAGTTTGCTTGCCGTATGTTTTAATCTTTTGCACTCAGACAAGTAGTGAATCACGTGTAATTTTATTTTTGATATTTTTTGCACGAAGGAGATTTGTTCATTGTTCATTGCATTGCTACATTCGTTGCAACAAGCCTGATTATTTTATTTTCTCCGACTGACAGACTGACAATTGTGCTGGCATAAATAATATTCAGACCTCTGATTGTACAGAATTATTTAAGAATAATATGCGTGCAATTCTGAAGATTTTGATTAGAAATGTATGAAATGTTGTTAAAATTCAGATTTTTATGAATTTATGGAAAATTTTGAAGTTCCGTAGAATGTATATCTAAGTACAGCGCTTTAACATTTAATAAGTAAACAAATTTCCTATTAAGATTCTATTTTTTGATTATTTTCAAACTATAATATTATTTTAATTCTATTCTCAAAAATTCCACGAAACATCATAAGTATGTCAGAAGTATGTATGCATAAATAAAATCGTTCAAAAGAGATCTAACTTTTCGACCTTATCAAGAAACATTCATAGCTCTAGAAATGTAATCTTGAATTCAAATAAATTGTAACTATAATTATCGAGTTGTTGCAAGAAAATGTTTCTGATTTGCAAGAGTGCAAACTCCTCTTGCCTTATGACGTGTCGATCATGGATCTGATACAATATAAAACAAATTATAATTCCAATTTTCCAATTTTTACTTTGCTTTCCAACTACAAAATTATAATGCAAATTATTGAAAACAACTCACGTACGTATAATTTTATGTGCGAATGTCAAAGTAGATGTAAAGATCGCAAGACAAGCGATTAACTTCATTTTAAACGATAGTATAAAAAAATTGAAGAATCAAAGAATCCAAGAGTATATCTGAATTTTTGAAATAAAAGGCATGTATTTCTAATAAATTACGTTTCGATTAGATACGTAAATTTTACACAGACCTAGCAACACTTAATAACTGTTCTCTTTTTTTCCAAGGAACGCGAACGAATTTATTACTCAATCTAGCTTTGATATCAACAACAAGACGAATCGTTAATTGTTAGATTTGATCGTTGCCTCGTTTCTCAGACTTCATTGTTAATATTTTCTAAATTGTAGTTCTATCAATCATCTAAATTGCATACAGTTTCTGTTCTTGAAGATACTCGTTCACTCGTTCATTGTTCGTTCGGTTTACTATCCGTTTATCCAACAAATTAGTCTTACGTGTTAACGACAAACGACACGAAACGTTGACAACGACGTCAAAGAACGATCTCTACGCTAATGTGTAATTAACTTTCAGAACGATCTGGCGATCGTCGTTTCGAATCGACTGTCAATAAGTAAATATGTATATTATACGGATCGTCGAGTGATTCTCGTGAAAAGTGATATGACTTCTACGAAGATGCGAGTTTCTTGTTCCCACTGACATGTTTTTTTTTTTTTTTTTTTTTTTCTTACTTTTCCTATCATGAAAAAAAGAAGGAAATCGTCCTCCTCTCATCCTTCTTCCCTTCCCCCTTTTTTTTTCATTCTAGGCAATGTTTTACAATTTAATCGGCGTCGCTACTACAGCCCTTGGACGGATGGTTGCCACTCACGATTTTTTTTAATTACATCAGCAACGGCGTCTAAACCAATTATCGTTTGGTTCACAACAAATCGACCATAACGTGATGAGAACACTTTAGAATTCAAAATCGATGAATCTCGAAGCTTGAAACGTTGAAATTATGATTTGCACGATATTTCAGATAATTGTGAAATGAGACTATTATTGAGATTATATCGAAAATTATTCAAATGTTTGAAAACGTAACAAAAACAAGTGTTCGTTAATATATTTAATAAAAGAGAAACGAAAGGTATAGTATTTGCATGGAATCGTGAAATGAACTTTTTCATTGGTGATTATTAAACTGCGGATCTTTGTGCACTTGCAATGTAAATTTATAAAAATCCACACAACACGCATAATACATGAAATACCTGTTGCAATATTTAACAAGTGAAACAAATTTGTCTTTGGGTCCTACTTTTTTTTTTTTATTAGAATTTAAGAAAATCAATTTGCATAAAAATCAGCAGTTTAGCAATTACACGTGAAACTGATTACAATGGAGCAAGAAATAAAAATTTATTAAACAGCGAGGGACGATTTATATTACGCGAAGAAAGCAATATGAGAAATCTAGAAATATAAAATTGAATGTCAGACGTAGATTTATTATTTTCCCAAATGAGAAACGTTTCTTTTGAAAAGTTGGATCTATTCGATTAAACTTCAAGAATTCTCATACACTCGCAGATAACGTAAAATACAATTGTTCGCTTAACGTGTCGCAAATAATGTAATATCTCGTAGTTCGCAGAATGCACGAACGAAAAACAGCAAAACAAATAAATAGTAAATAAAAATCAGTCGTCAAAAGTTCCAAATAATCGTGGAAACACGATTCGTCATCGTTTTCGAGAGTTGAGTCGATTTGTTGCGAACCGGACGGCTCGATCGAAGCGTGGCAACCCAATGCGGGATTACGCATCTTACAATCCTTAAGATATGCAACCTGGACTTATCTAACATCGCGATAGGTAACCTAAGCGCGAGGATCGGTCGTGCCGACGTGAAAATCGAGGCGGGAACCGTCGATTTCCATCGACATGCGCTCTCGCGATCATTTCAAAGCCTAATTAGTTCGAGAATGTCGACACACAGCGATTTTTTATATTATTTACACGACGAGACAGAGATCGAAGATGAAACGCGCGCTGCCGACCTACGGGAAAAAAAATTCTTTACCACGCTACTTCACCTCGCACTCTCTCGTTTCGAACAAACGTTCAGACGCAACGTCATTTGTTATATACCTCAGCATGCACGGCATATTTCGATAAATAACTCATTTAAATATTTTCGTCGAAACGATTCGTCTACCATCTCCAATTGAATTTTCTAACACTCGAATTTTACGTCTCGAAGAATCTCATCGTCGTTTGTTAGAGCGATCTCCGACTGCTTTTTTTTTTTTTCTTTTCATTCACTTTCGGCATCCGGTTTCTTGAATCGTTCCTCCCGCGAATACCTGCAAGGTATTTTGCACTTTCTCGTTTTCGACAACGAAATTTCACGTTCTAGATGCGTTCTCGTAGACTGTCTACTGATTTCTGACGTTCGTTTGTGAATCATCAGCGACGTCGAATCATCAGACTGCTGTGTTAACATGTGAGTGTATGAGAGTCTGTGTGTTCTAAAGTGGATCCTCCGAGTTAAGCCGTGGACACATAAAGAGTAGTGACAAATGTAGTTAAAAAAAACCTCGAATAACGTTACTCCGTGGTTACATCTTGGTCGAAATTGAATGAACAGTAAACACAGATTGCAGAATATTCCGTCAGAAATCCACAGTATGTACAGTGACTTCCCGAATACGATATTGAACCGTCTCAGTATGTCATAAATGTAACATAAACTCTTGTTTGAGATAACATAATAAACTCTTGTTTCGTTCAATTCTACTGATGGAATACGAAAAGTGCCTCGGTGACGAAAGTAAAGTTACATTCTCGTGTGTAGTGAAATTATTACGAGACTTGGTAACATCAAAAGATCTCATATTTCTATAACAATTTCAATAAAATAGTCTAAGTTACGTATTCTGTGATATAGAATATTATACGTTTTACTTTCTTGTATCTTGTAACAGTACAATCAAAGACAGGGTAGCAACAAATTGTCCTCCTTTTCGCTGCTGAATGCTCTCGTGTTGTCGCGAATCCATAATTTTTATTACAGCCCTTTAAATGGCCACAGCTTTGAGTGCGATATTTTCTCTCGTTCGACGTATCTATTTATTGTCGACATTAATTTGCCACTCGTGCGTTGTCCAGACGACTCGGAGCCAAACGTAATTTCACGTTCGCGAAATTGAAATTGATTCCCACCCTCCCCCTTCTCGCACGTTTAGTCCTTTAGCTCTCGTTCACTCGTGAGTCGCCAGTAAAAGAAGAAAAACTAAAGACGCATCACTTTGAACGTATGCTTCCTTTCGTAACAGAGCTAACTAGTCGTCTTTTGTTTGTCGTTTTGTTCAGAAGCACCACGTGGCGTTACATTACCGAATGAACATCGACTACATATAATCGATTATCGAGGAATCGTCGCATGTTCAGTCTCTTGGCTTTTGCCTTCGCGATTTAAGCAACATGCCACGCATGTTATCGCGTCGTAATGCTACTCTCGATAACGGTGCACCGCACCTCTTCAAAATACTTCTAGAACATCCTCGTGTTCGTTGATCCCTGAATGAAACGAGGTATTCGAACATCACATTCCTGACTCTGCTATTCCTTCGTCGTCTGGAAAAATAAACGAGAACCAGGAATGAGAATTTTCAGTGGAATTTTTAGTGGGTGCTTAGATTTTTGGTGAAAAATCATGCTACTTGATATTATAGAAACAAACTGAGAAAGCTGAATCGATTAAATGCAGAGAAAATTCGGCATTGTGACTTTGATATACAATATATATGGTACTTTTTTTTCTATTGCAATTTGATAGTTGCATGTAAGTATTTTAAAATAAAATATTTGAAACTACACAGAGTGTTTTTAATTCGGTGGAACGATTCTTATTGTAAAGAAACAAGTCAAAAGGGAGAAATAAAATATTTAAATTTACAATTTTCGGTGATCTAATAATTTTTCAATTTTGTAAATTTGAGGTTTCATTCTCGGCAAAATTGAATTTCAAAAATTTTTTATACAGATAGATATGGATACTTGAATTTGGCTGATTCTGGATTGACATATTTTCAAATTCGACTTTATGGGAGGAGAAGCTGTAAATGAAAGAATTTTATTCTTTCTTTCTGACTATTTTTTCATGTAAAATCACATTCTGTCTGGTTATTCCACCAGATTGGAAACACCCTGTATATAATAATTAAAAATTTTAAAGAAGAAGCAAGTTTCGTTTCGTTTATTTGTAGAATATACGATATTGAATGAATCTTGACATTTCTGTAAAAAATGAATTTTCTTTTTAAATGCTTTAGTTACTGATAATATTAAATTCTGACTATCGTAGATTTTATAGTTTCTTCTTTAGAAAAAATTCACATTGCTGAAAGTATTTAATTCTTTCTTACAAATTCAATAAAGTATACATCCAATTTTGTTTCTAATGAAATAATTAACTTTGAAGAAAAAGATAAAATCAAATTATAAATCCAAAATAAAAAAAGATGAAAGCTTCAACTGTGTTCAATTGAGATTAAATCGTGTGAGCAATTGAAAGGAATTAAATTAAAAATTTAATTAAATTAATTAACTAAATTATTTTACTCCTTAAATCCTCCAAAACTACGAAGAGATAGCAACAAAATTGAATGTACAAATAAGAATTTTGTTATTTGTATTATTCAAATTCACAATTATCGGAGATTGAGACAACAGCAGATGCAACAAAGTCTGCGAGATACCAAAAATGGCTCTCATTGCATGCTCTTCCTATAAATTTATGCCAGAATACATTAATATTTCGATGCAAATAATTAACATCAACGTGACAATCACGAAAGAATTATTTCTTCGAAATCGTACCAGTCGTATTTTTGACAAAAGGAGGAAAGCTGAAGTTAAAAACGGCAATAATCAGAATCTCAAATGATGATTAATTACAGGAATCGTATTCGCTTAAATTACAAAATATAAAATAAATATAAAATGATCATTACCCAGCAAACTGAGGCTCCTCTTCACTGCTACTTATGTACAAAAGCAAAATTATTCTTCGATCAACACGAAACAAATAACATATTCCTATTGCTGCCTGTACATTATAAAGCGTTTTATGTGTTACTTTCTATCGATTAGCTCTCATGCCACGTGCATTTCGCGAAACTATAGTTACCATGGGCATGCAACGTACTGTGCCGACAGTGAGAGAAATAATAGAAAACAGGCGGAAAAACGAAGTAAGCGAGGATCAAAATTACCATCGACTCCGGAATCGCAGTTCGAGGGTCACCTTTCCTTTTCATCCTCGGCGGGACTCTTTGTGTTTTCAACGGAGCTTCGATTCTTGCCTGGATTCAAAGGGATCACGAGGTTGGAGAAGGGAAGTGATTTCACTACGTACGGACGTGATACAATTTACCATAAAGCAACAACACTTTTGCACGTGACACAAAATCGAACGTGCCCTTCCTTTTTTTAAATTTTTTCGAAAGAGCCAATATAAATTCAAAAATCACTACTACCATCACCATCACCATCACCAGACTTTGCACGATTCATACTTGATTCGTTAAGAATTTTTTCTTCATTTTTTTTTTTTTTTTCTTACTCGTAAATGCACTGCTAAAATATTTTTCTTAGAACACACTGCGGTGTATAAATAATTGGACGTTTAATGCAATTCACCAAAAGGTTGTTGCTTCTATTTCGCTTTCCACAACTATAATTTAGATAATTACTATAATTTATTGTAATTTAAATAGAGGTTAGATAATGTCATTCAAATTCCATATTCGTTTCTAACGAATAACTTGTATTAATTATTAATTAATTATTGATTAATTATTAATTTGTATTAATTGTTCTATTAAGCGTACAATTATTACATAATTACAATTCAATGAAAAAGATTCATTTGAATTGTGTTTTATATATTTTCGATAATTTAGGATTGTCCAAATACTTATACACAATAGTGTATATATAATGAGTCACAGAAGTATTCATTATATTCATTAATTGAAGAACTGGCAGCAAGCAAGACGTAGTTTCACTTTTTACACTCTCTTTTTATTATATATACCATCTCATTAAAAAGAAAATTCTTTTTGGTAATTTGAGAAAATTTTTCATATGAAATGTAGTTTTAACTAACAAGTACGGCGATAAATATTGGTTAACAAATTTATAGTATGTTTAAAATAATTCCTGACTTTTCAATTGCTTTTTTATTAGTTGGAGTTGTTTTTCATTGCCAACATTAAATGATTCCATATTCTTTTACAATGCAATTTTCAAAATTTTTATGAATAATAATCCCAATTACCTTACTTTTTTAAAAATATATCATCACCGATCAAAATCTTGATATTTATATTGTAAAACATTTTTAACCAGCTTTATATTGTAAAACATTTCAAAGCCAGCAATATTGTAAGAGTACGAATATTTCTGTGATTCACTGTATACTGTTGCTCAAAAGTTTGTGGACATTTGCTTATTTTTAATAATTCAAAATGCAAAAATGCTATATAATATATAAAAATATTTAAGAAATACATTTGCTTATTTTTAATAATTCAAAATGCAAAAATGCTATATAATATATAAAAATATTTAAGAAATACATAAAATATCCAAAGTATGTAACAATCTTCATAATGTACATATATTTCTGCATTTGCTTTCACGAAAATTTCAATTTTCATAAATACTCCCGATCTAATTGCGAGATAAAATCCGTTTGATTTTACGACAAGATAACAAGTATCATCAACAAAATTAATCATTCTATTAATTTATTCGTGTACTCTCATTATCAGTACAAATCGACTAAATGTCCACATATTTATGAGCAGCAGTGTGTATTTATTCATTGTTTATGTATTTCAGTAATTTGTAATAATAGAAGGAAATGGACGACGAGAAATGAACGTCATACATTACTGAAATTACGAAGAATCAATATCACTGATGGGTGTTTTTAAATTATACGTCATATTTCGATTTTTGGTAGACGTTTCACCAATCTCGAATCACTCATGCACTACTGTTTTCTGTCTTGAACGATTGAACTCACACAAAAGAGATAAATGCATTGATTATTCAACAAAAAAAATCAAGTAAATATCGAAAGTGAGGCTTTAACGAATTTTTTTTCTGTACGCTTTTCCGTCGCGATGCTTTAGGATAGAATATATCTGAGCTTAAAGTATATATATATATATATATTTATATTTATATTAAAAGATATTAAAAAATATTTCGCACTTCTAAATTTACTCTGAGATTTATTTGTCAATTAAATAATATTTCTATTTTTAATTTAAGAACGTTTGAGGTAATTTCTATTCTAAAAAAATAGCTTTCCTTAAACTATTTTTTCACCATTTTTGTATTTTTTTTTTTTTTTTTTGTCATTGAATATTTTTATCGTCAGAACTTTGCATATGATATACTTGAAGCTCAGAGTATATTATATCGTTAGGAATGTGTGAGTACTTAAAATATTTACGTAGATCTTTGAAATTTTGTTAGATACACAAGATGATAAATCGGAAAATTCGCTTCACATGGAATATAAAAATGAAATCATTATAAAGCTCTATTTAACTTTCACTGAATATGTTATAAACTATACAAGTAGAACGAATCAGTGAACCTTCATTATAAACTTCAACATACAGCTATAAACTATAAAAAGCTCCAATAAACTTCATTTATACAAAATCCATGTGCCAGGTATAATATTTCATTTAGCGTCAAAAATAGCGAAACTATCACATCTAAAAAAAAAAAAGAAAAAAATAAAACAAACCCGAGCTACACTTCGTTCAATTTATAATATATTGTTCGCGTTAGAAACGAACGTCCAAAAATTTTTAATACGCGCACATCCCTGTTCATCTCGCAGAGAGCAAGTCTCTCGAAATTACCAAATTCCGAAAGCGGCCAGTTCGAAGATGGAAACTCACCTTCGAATCCTTGATTGTCGTGGATCTCCCGCGGTGGTCCAGTCATGTCCTGGCCTTCGAGCACCGCCAGAAGACACTGATGTATGCAGATGTATTGCTGCTCCGTCTGGACCATCCAGACGCGCTCCTTCCTCATTGCCCAGACTATTCCAAAAATGTCGACGTACTTCGACACCAAGATCTGCTGAAGTATTCTGTCCAACGTGATGAACGTGCCGCTGCGGCCAACACCAGCGCTGCAGTGAACGACGATCGGTCTTTGATCCGGTCTCACTTTCTCTCTGAACGCTCGAACGAATCTAGCCAACGTTTGAGGCGGATTTGGTACACCGAAGTCCGGCCACGTTGTGAAATGGAAGTGTTGAATGATTCTCTTGACGTCTCCCTGTCGATGAAATGTTTTGTTGGCGAAGTTGTTTCTTTTTTTCTTTCTTTCTTTTTTTTTTTTTTTTGAGATTTCGTTGGCTATCCATTTATGATATTTTCTTCTAAATCAAATTTATATTTAAAATTTTAAACGTATATATATATATATATATTACTGTTCAAATTTTGCATGAAATCATGTTCTTTAGATAGTTGGTATCTATTTATAAAAGTTATTATTATTTAAGTTATAATTAATTATAATAATAATTATAATAATATAATTAATGTAATATTATAATAATATAATTATATATAAAAATATACATATATTATATATAATATATAGTATATATAATTATATATATAATATTATAATATTATAATTATATATATATATATAATATTATAATAATATAATTAATATAATATTATAATTATAATAATATAATTAAAATGATAATAATTTTCTTTTCTTTTCTTGCATACCTTTGTATAGAATATAGTATAGAAAAATTTTCTTACCCTGCACAGCATGAATTCCGTGATGCTCCAATCGGGGTAATGCGTCTCGTTCAATATCGTAACGCAAATGTCCCCGTAATAAACAGGATGAGTATCCATAGGCCAGTAGTGGTCACACTTTTCCCTGCCCTTTTCAATACACCTTGTTAGCATAACAATGGCTCTGCTATTGCTTTCCCAGACCATCCTCCAGAAATCGTCGCGTGTCGAATGCAAAGGTCCTTGTGTAACGATAAATTCTCTTGGAGAGTTGTGGCCCTGATGTAAAAACGTAACATTCTTTGAAATTCTCTTTTTTTTTTTTCCACGTTAGCTATAATCGAACGATACTGTTCATTTATAGTATTAAAATTACAAAATTAGAACTTTACTTCTTAGTCTTTTTTTTTTTTGCGCGCGCGTTAATTGTTGAAATAATCGAAGAGTAACATGGACTTATTATAGTACTGTTAAATAATACTGTTTACGATTTGTGACTAAAATACGAAATGGAAAATAGCTAAAACACAAAGTAAAATAAAATACGAAATAAAGTGCATAGAAAGTGCTAAAATACAAATTAGTTAGATGAGAATCATATTGATAACATTTATAAGAAGAATTGCAATTGTGTTACATCTTATGTATTGTATTTTCAATGAGCAATATGATATATTTTCATTAATAACGTCTCAATCGTACAAGTGATACAGAGGTTCAAACTCACAGGAACGTAATTGGCGTTAATATAGTCGGAACCCTCTTCGTCATCTACAGGCTGCAACTTAAATCTGCTGTGATCGTAGGGCAAAATATTTGTGAAACGATTCTTCGGTCTGTTGCACGGTAAATCAGCGGCTGTACAAGGTTGATCTCTTCCAACATGCTTCAGTTCTTCGAACTCTTCCGAGAAACGAAAGTCCGAGTCCGCCGACATCGTGCGATAATGTTCCGAAAAATCTTCAATTTTAATTGGTCGACTGTAAACAAAAATTTTGAGGCACTCAATTAGTTAAAGTTAGTTGAGAAATAGATAAATTTAATAAAAAAAAAAAAAGAACTAGAATGGCTTTAAACTGATAGTACTCTGTCCTTTTCTCTTGTACAATTAAAATTCCACAAAATACAAAATTCTTACATATTTCTCATAAAAAAAAAAAAAAGAAAAAAAGAAGAGGGATCTTCTAATTCTAGATACTTAAATTTAATTTCCATACACGCACTGTCCAATCAGGGGATCATTCTTTGTGATATTTTAATTGCAAATCGTAATTCTCTTTTTAAATTTTGATTTATTAAGTTGTAAAAGCAATTGTTACAATATAAATTTACTTCTTAAGTATGTAGAAATCTTTGCTTCTAGCACAATATAAATACAATGTAGTTTGTGAATTAGTAATTTCGTTAAAATATCTAAAATTTGCCATGTACAAAATTTACCTAGTATCAATCACGCTGTCTGGTAAAGACAAGTTGTCAGTGGTCCTTGTTTCAGTCGTTTTACGTCCTTGACTTCTTCTCCGTCTGACCAATAGTCCAATGCCCAACAGAGTTAACAAAAATACTATTGGAACTATGACTCCAACCATGATAGCCGTATTGTCCTTATCTGTTTCGAATATAACAAGACTACAATTAGAAAGGTTTATTAAATGTTTTAGGCCTCAAATATAACATTCATGTTGCTATAAAACTGCAATAGAATTACTTATATATTTTTGTAACAATTATTTTAATGTGGTTGGTATATTATAAATATATTATAAAAGGTATATTATAAAGTAATCAAATGCATTATAAGGTCGTTATTAGAAACAAATATCGTTGGCTAACGAACTTGATATTAATAATTAATATAAGGAATTCCATCAGATTTTGAATTGTTAACATATAGTAACCTTGTTTGTTACTTTAACTTTATTCGTTATTTATTTATCATTAACTTTACCTGCCAGCAGCAATCCTTGAGCAGACATGTACACGAAATAACGAGGCATGAATTTAGCAAGCTTCCTATAGCTACGCGATACGTTTTTACTCCAAGTGTTGAATTGAAAAAAAAGAGAATACGAATTTTAATCAAGAATACATCCATTTTAATTAGAACCTCTCCTCTTCGTAATTCTTTAACTACACACAGTAACAAATAACATTTCACGCAAAGAGCTATCTAACAGTCATTTAAAAAAAAATTTATTTTTTCCAAAATAGTCTCTCGCACCATTGAAATTGAAAGAAAAAGAAAAACAAAATCAATCAATATCCATGATTTCTGAAAAAACGTTTCATACATTTTATGTATGTGCGATATATCAAGTATCCTGAATGCGCGAAACAAAACGAAAGGAAACTGCTTATGCCAACAAAGAAGGAAAAATGACGAATCCGAAATCCTATCGAAGCGTTGGAAAATTACGTCTGTGTGTCACGTTGCACAAGTCGAAAGAATTTCCTAGCATCGATGAGCTGGCTCTTCAACACGATCGTTCTCACCTGTTTGAATCGGAAAACTGTAGCTAGTATCCGTGAATTTGTCGGGCGCGGTGAACGCTCGAACTTTTACTTTATAGGTGGATCCGGACTTCAACGGCCCGTTACAGTAACCGATTTTATTGTCGCAATTCTCGCTGCCGATCGTGAAATCTTCCACGGAGCCGTTCTTGAAGGGATAATAGGGCTCCATCACCTGCGAATCGAATAAAAAGTTCAATTAACCTCTCAAATTCAATTTAATATGATTTATATTTAAAGTACGTACATTTATATTCAATAGTAATAATTCGATGTTTATCTATAGTAGAATAATCTACATAATCTTTATCTGAGCTTTATTTATTCGAGAAAAACTTTAAAAATTAAAATTGTTGGTTAAATTCGCTTATTTCAATGTGAAGTGATATGCAAATACTTCGAATTTTTGGAAATTACAGAATTTAATTTCAGGAAGGCATAATAATAAAAAAAAAAAGCATTAAGCAAACACTTGGTATTTCCTTAGATAATCTTAATATTATGAAACAGATAATATAGGTTCGATATGAATTTAATATAAATGATATTCTCAAATAAAATGTTACATTTTTATTACTTTTGTCGCATAAAAGAAATGAATCAACATCTTGTTAATCGATTCTTGTTGATTCGATCATTGCTGTTTTTTACTATTCGTTTGTCATGTTTGAAAATTAGAATTTCTGAGAACTGAATCATTTTCACGAAGCAAATCATCATGTTGACTATTAAAATACCACGTAATACTTTTTCATATTTACGTTAAGCTAATTGTCTACGGTGCACACGCATTGAATCGCATAAACGTCTTGAAAATTCGATCATGTTTTTTTAATGACCTGATTTATGTACATCGTTTATAAAATGCTTCTTCCATATCGAGAACTTCCTCACGGACGCAGTAAATAAAAACCATAAAAAGTGACTAACGTAGTTCAGAATTCGTTTTCTTTTTTAACGACACGAAACTGGCAAATCAAAAATCAATTGGTAAATTAGTCAAATTTTTATTGATTATCGCATAGTGGATTCCTGGCTTGTATTATTGAATATTAAGAACTACAAAAATTTAGATTTTACGCCACGCAATGTTGGAATGTTTAAATTCAATCAAAGAGAATGCAAAATAGAAAATAAAATTAAGTACTTGAAATTATTTTGCAACATAATGCAAATCTAAATAAATATAATTGCTACAGTCATTTGTAACGAGGATTAATAAAGTGCAGTATTTGAATTGCTGATGACACCTTCTCAAATTATTTTGTGATTTCAAAAACATAGTATAATTAACAACAACGAAAAATATGTTAAAGTATATGTAAATTATTATAATATTGTTTTAATTAAGCCTAATATTTTAATATGGTAAATTGCATTCAGTTACATTTTATTCACAGATACTTTAAATTATTTAACTATTCTCTCCTTTTATTTATGCTTCGAAATAAGTTATGCTTCAGACATTGAACGATTTTATTATCTTTGATATATTTAACAGTTCATATATTTCATGAATTTTAAACTTTTTATACTTCAATTTTAAATTTTGAATTTGAAATCATACATTTAAATTACAATATCTTATACGTACATTCGTCAGATATTTTCTGTTTCATCTCAGAAATTAATACCGTACAGTTTTCCTACGTTAACACAACACGAAAGTGGCGAGTTATATTGTTCAGATAGCAAAAAACTTGCATAACAGATTATTTGAATAGTGAATATTCCAGTAATTTCTGCCGTACTTTAATATCTATGCTAACGAGAACATTAAATTGCAATATACATATTTTTACATTGACAATCGAACAGTCGACACTAAAAAGATAATTATTACCTGTGTAATGAATTTCTTTGTGTTCACAATCAAATTTTGTAGAACATCCATAGCTCAACTGAGTAATCATACTATCGTCTTATTTACCGAGACTCTATTTTGCAAAAGAGGCACTTCGAAGGTGCATAAAAATTTTCGAAAATGCTGTAACCTCATTCTAAGGAAAATTAAATTATAACATCGAACGTACACCGTTTTCATCTCTTTCCACGTAAACACAATTACTCTGAAACGCTTCTATAATTCAACTATCATTGTTCTACTGCAATAGAGTTAAATAATTAACAAATCCATCACAAACCCAGTCCTCCAACTACAAAACTTGTCTCCATCCCTCGGCGAATTCACCATCACGTAAATAGTTATCTTATAGTCGCAATTTCCTCTGAATTTTAAATTCTTCCCGATTTTTATACAGCGCAAGGATATTTTTATACACCTATTTAATTTCCATGTGTTTCACCGTTACACCGACAGTGATACGCACAATTTGTTTCGGCCTCTAAACTCCCGTCTCTTTAAAACGACAACTAGAATCACGCGCGTTCGCCGATCGACTGTCACGCGTAAACACATAATGCAACAATTGCAGGAACATAATTATTTATGCGTGGTCTGGAGGCTACGTATTTCTTGATCGTTCGCGATCTCCTTCGAACGTTCGTGATCTCCAAGCCAACGAGTCATAATGCGGTGCATTAATTATTTGACATCTCGACTGCAATATCGTACGACATGTGACGCCCGATGAAAAAATATTTGACGTAATCGACTGTTGTGTGTCGTCTCGGAAGGCGTTCGGAATTCCTTCTATGTCGTTAATAATTGTTTCTTTTTTTCCTTCGTGATTGTTGAAACGTGCAGTGCGTCGCAGATGTAGCAGGAGTGCGGATTTTTATACATTTATGGGAAATTGATTATTTTGTTATTAATAGTAATCCATACAGAGAAACTGATTATAATTTATATATTTATTATTTATATATATTAATATGTACTATTATATATATATTAATTGTCTGTTGTTATTATTATTATTATATTATTAACTGATAACAATATAATTAATAATGATATTTTATTGATAACTTATTAACAACAATATAATTGTGACAAGTGCAAAAATTTCGAAAAAGTAAAAGTACAACGTGCACTTTAGCATCGATTGTAACGTTTAGTAGACAGAAATTTATCTGGTTAAATTGCTTTTCTTCCATCATTTTTCGTACGCCGTTTTTACTTTTATGATTTTTAATCCTTTCGTTTAATCTAACGAATTAATTTAATTTTGTTTGTCAATGCCAGTGTAAGTTATATAACATTGAAAATTCTATTACGAGTTATACATTACGAGGATCATAAAAGAAGAGATAAAGATAAAAGGCAGTTTGTGCTAAATGCATTTTAAGATTCTTTTTTTCTGTTTCGAGAAGTGAGCTTTTGAGAAAAAAAAATATTCTCCTCTCGTGTTCCCTTGTTATTAATAATATATTATTCTTTCCTCCCTTCCGTTCCCTTGTTATTAATAATATATTATTCTTTCGAAATCATGGAATAACTCTACGAGTAAAATAATAATTCTATGTAAACAAGTTTAAATAAATAGTTCCAAAATAAATCTATATAATAAGATATAGATATCTATATAATAATATAATAAGATTATATTATATATATATAACAGATTATAATATATAAGATTATAATATTATATATATATAACAGATTATAATATATAAGATTATAATATTATATATATATAACAGATTATAATATATAAGATTATAATATTATATATATATAACAGATTATAATATATAAGATTATAATATTATATATATATAACAGATTATAATATATAAGATTAT